GACCTAATAAAGAAACAATATAGGTCATGACCCTAAGGAATTCTGTAAAAAAAAAAAAATCAGCTATAAACAACTGGTGGCTAACAGATGAAAAAAAAAAAACAGTTATTTATGTACATTTTGTATATAAACAATATATTAGGATATATAAAGGGATTAATCTATAAACACCAAAAGAGTAAAGCATTAGTTAAAATTATTCCTCCAGGCAAAAAAATATTTGTACCGGGTGACTCCTGCTGTGACCTCTGACCTCTACAAATGAGGCTTACAGGAAAATGTGATATCAAGATGATCTCCCAAAAGCTATTTTTAGTTTATATATTCACATCCTGACCTCAAAAACATTGCTGCAGGTGTGAACCGAACCAACAGAATTAACTACACGCCTCATATACAGGTCACTATAGATAAGTCGGATTAGTGACATATAAGGGGAACTGGCACCAACTGGGAGTGTTGGTTTTGCGACTTTTCAGCGTGACAGGGTTACAACTTGAGTATGTAAAAATTCAGAAAACGGTTGAAAGATACAACGTTACTTCTATAAAACCAATGAAAACTACACAAAAAATTGCGAACAATTTTCAAATATTTAAATTATTCAAGTATTATTCAATTAATTTATTCAAATATTAAAGTAAATATTCCAAGATAACAGTATTGTCTAAAATCAAAGCAAAAAGCAACAGGCATCTCTGAAACAATTAAAGGCGCCTTATAAAAGGGAAAGCAATTGTAAACATTCGCAAATAAGATTAAACAGACTACCACAGAAAATCCGCTGTGACACAAAGAACCAAGGTTACCCTTGTACAGTGGCCATGTTGGATCACAACAAAGCATAGATTGTAACAGTTGTCTGGAGAAGACAGTGGTGGTTCTGTGTTGTTGGTCACATGATACACACGAAGATGCAGATAGGGCTCATCTGAAAACCAGTACAGGGATCACCTATTCAGTGAAATCGTACATAAATTGTTTTTGAAAAAACAATGTGGTCTTTGTTTCTCAACTTTTTCACACCCGTGGCCCCACCAAAACAGTGGAAATTGTTTCGTGGCCCAGCTGACAGCTAACCAAACATTGAAACAAAAGCACGTGTAGATAAGAGTTTATTTTTTGAATCCTATTTCACAAAATAACATTGTGAGCGGATGAGATATCTTCTGATTCTCATATCTGAGGTGTTAATCCTTGAGATCAGCAGCTGGCCAAACAGTTAAGAATGCAGGGCTCTCATGCGAGAAGCCTAGGTTTTAATCCTTGGTGAGGTTGGGGATATTTTTTTGTGGGGGGGTGGGGCAAAAATGAATCCTAACCTACACAGTCCGTGTGGTCAGCACTAGTCATGCCATACGACACTTAATCCTCAGGCTAATAGATCCCCCTATCTACACCGCAAACAGTGGCAGATACAGGCAGTTATAACAATCCTACAGACTGCAATCCTACAGACTGCAATCCTTCAGACTGCAATCCTTGAATAGACAAAAGTACCTACCCTACTCCATTACATGATTGGGAAGAAATGTTTAGGGGCCCCTCTCAACTTTACCACTGCCCACCAGCGGGCCATGGTCCACCGGTTGAAGAACTCTGGCTTAGAGGATAGTGAATGCATTTCCTAAGTGCATCAAAGTTCAATTTCCACAGTGAACAGTCTAGAATAAGATCCTTCCTGTGGCTTGGCAGCAGTACAAGAGTTGCACCAAAGAAGAGCTTGAGACCTCTGCTTCTGTTGTCTGTATTTACTGTTAATTTTAGGTTGGTCTAAGATAAGGGGGGGGGGGGGGGAGGAAGGGGGGAGGGGAGGAAGAGGGAGGGGTTGTCATCCTGAGGATTCAAAATCTCATGACTACAAGAAGTCATGTCGGACTTTAAAAAACCTGTAACTCAGTTGCTGTTTGGTGTAGGTTGTTCAAATCTGGTATGCAACCAGTTGATAGCCATGTCAATGTAGGAGATCTGTTTTTTTTTTTTAAATTAAATTTTTAATGTAAACAAACTTCTTGTCTTCATTCAGTCTTTTCTATGGTATACAAAAACATAGACACAGATTCTAAGCATAAATCAACATGCTTACAGTAACTTAAGTAACCTGAGTGAGGGGAACTCATCAAAACATCAAAGTGCACAGGTTTCAAGGGCGCCTCACTCTCAGGTGTTCCTCTCCAGCATTAGTTTTACGTGAATTGTGGATTTTTTCATTGTGTGCCTTATAGGCTTTCAAAAAAAAACCCACAACGCATTGCTGCACATGTGAAGCGATTTTCAAACAATCTTCAGGTGTGTGTCAATGACTGTATATTCTATCTTTGAGGGGTACACAAATTTTTAGCCAAACAAAGATCAAAGAAATTCACTGCTATCAGAAAAAAGCAGCAACTGTGCAAATGTTAATTATAAAATCATAAGGACATGGGAAATTCAAGGTCATGTGCACAAATTCATGCTGATCCATACAGGAGCTTTCAAGTAGTTTTTCAGAGTGTGATGGCAAAACTTATGAAACACACTATAGTGATGTCACCTGGATTCTGTGTAGGTTAGGATGTTTATTTGCGCTTGAGACTGCACCATGGATTATTCCTGAAGATAAGAGTAGATAGTGTATCTTTCCTCCTCTAGGAATGTGTTGTACATCTTTATGGGACTGGAAGAGTCAATTAAAAATCTTCTCAAGAATATCCATTTAAAAAACAGCCAACGTAATCTCAAGATAATAAATTCTGTATAATTTTCCTCATTCTTGAGCATTTCAATAATTTTAATAATAAAAAATGCTCAAAATACAGACAACAAACTCAGAAATCAAAACAAAACAAAAAGCAACAAAGGAAATGTCACAAAAATGTAAAAAAAATTAACACAATGCTTATGAACAATACATCTGTCAAATCATATATATATATATATAGGATAGAAGAAATACAAGATATATTAAAGTAAATAACAGACAAATATCAACTCAATACACTATTGGCAAAAAGAATAATGCAATGACAATGTTTCATGCATAAAATAAAAATAAAAAACATGGAGGTCAGAAAATATAATGGTATCCTTTCTAAGGTTGCGTATCTTTTACAAGACGTTGCACCATTTTGTGGCTGTTGTGGTTTTTCTTGGCAAATTTTATATTCAGTGGTTTGCCATTGCTTTCTAAATGGCCAGCTCTCTGTACAACAGTAGAAACCAACTCAAGAAGGTTTGCTGCCAAATCCCCAGCAGCTGGCACCCACAGAAAAAAGGTAACCTAAGATAAAGGACCATTCTTACGCCAGTGCGGAAGATGATGTTAGGTTCATGTTTGTAGAGACTATCTGGCGCTCGGTGGATGACGTGGGCAACATCATCAGCCATCTTCAATTACCAGGACTCCCATGTGTAGGTTCAGCAACCCCAGTGTGGGGGAAAACAAGAATAGACCCACTGCCTACCTAAAAGCATGTTGTAAGAGTTGATTAGGAGCTTCCTTCAAAGTCAGAGTTCATCTGCCTGAGAGGCAAGGAACCAACAGTCTGCACACACATGAAGAAGAAGAAGAGGTCTTTCCATAGAGCCAAGTCAATGTCAAACTAAATCCAACTTGAAACAGACCGAACCCTAGACTTTCAACCCAGATGACGAGGATCTAGCCACTGCAGCTCCCTAGTATCCTTAGAGGCTGACAGAAATTTGGTAATGCAGTTCACGGAAACAGACATAAATTAATCTGGAGGATGTCATGGAGTGATCTTCTTCTAGTAAGGAAGTCAGTCTCACTGAAATCTGGCCATGGGACATTCAATCTCCATTTACTGTTTCTCTACCAGGCAAGACTCAAACATTTACTAGTTACTGAATTTACCCCTTAATGTTCCAGACAGTAGACTGCACACATCCCATAATGTTTTATCTTCTATCTACTTTCAGACAAGACTTTTGTTGCCCACTGCACACATCACATAATGTTCTATCTTCTATCTTCTTTCAGACAAGACATTTGTTAGCCACTGCACACATCACATAATGTTCTATCTTCTATCTTCTTTCAGACAAGACATTTGTTAGCCACTGCACTCATCCCATAATGTTCTATCTTCTATCTACTTCCAGACAAGACATTTGTTAGCCACTGTACACATCCCATAATGTTTTATCTTCTATCTACTTTCAGACAAGACATTTGTTAGCCACTGCACACATCACATAATGTTCTATCTTCTATCTACTTTCAGACAAGACATTTATTAGCCACTGAACACATCACATAATGTTCTATCTTCTATCTACTTTCAGACAAGACATTTGTTAGCCACTGCACACATCACATAATGTTCTATCTTCTATCTACTTTCAGACAAAACATTTGTTAGCCACTGCACACATCACATAATATTCTATCTTCTATCTACTTTCAGACAAGACATTTGTTAGCCACTGCACACATGACATAATATTCTATCTTCTATCTACTTTCAGACAAGACATTTGTTAGCCACTGCACACATCCCATCATGTTCTATCTTTTATCTACTTTCAGACAAGACATTTGTTAGCACTGCACACATTCACTTGACATTCCTAAATACTGGGCCATAAGAAGTTATCAGAATAATTTAGACCACAGCTAGGGATCGTTATTCTGTCAAGGACCGTTGGAATATTTCTAGCAACACTCAAGGGCCATATGGATATTTCTAGTAACATGTAAGGGCCACCTGGATATTTCTAGTAAGATTCAAGTGCCATCTGGATATTTCTAGTAATATCTGAGGGCCATTTTAATATTTCTAGTAACACTGGAGGGCCATCTGGATATTTCTAGCAACATTCATGGGCCATTTTGTTGTTTTTAGCAACAAACGAGGACCATATAAAACTATTCTGCAATATTTGGTCAAACATTTAATTGTAGTTGTCTTGGCAGGGCTAACCATATGATTCCATGGGTTTATGATATGGTATGGTTCTCTGACTGTACTACTACTTACCCAAACAAGACCTACACTCATTTATTCAGCAGGTACAACACTACCTTCTGCATCCTTCTCTAACCTTTGTTACAAAGAAGAAAAAAAGAATAATAATAACATATTTTATCACAGGTAGTTTAAAACTTGCAGTGAAGGAATGCAACTTACTTTTTTTTTTTTTCCATTTCATGGGCAGCTTTGAAAAATAACGACACACATATGTCTACTTTTAAGGCCTATTCTAAGAACAAAACTTTACTGTCAAGGCATGGAAGTTGAAGCTAGCAGCGCATCTTTACATGACGCTGCAGGACTAACCCCAACATTTGTTGGTTCAATAGTTTGCCACTGCTCCTGAACGGTCAGCTCTGGATAACCCTGTCAAAACCAAATCAGGGCGGTCTGTTTCTAAATCCCCCGCAGCTGGAATCGAACCAGGTACTCTTGGATACGAACTGTGTTTGCAAATCTTAAACCACAGACGTCGACAGGATGTGGAAAGGAGTCCTTCAATTCTGGACTTACAAAGTCTTAGTTTACATTTTAACCCACCGACACCTGTCATTGGATTGTTTAGGGGTGGCTAGTTAGGTAATGGGTTAATGTTTAGCGACAGAAAGAATACCAAGGGTTAACATATGATCAGTGAGGAACAATGTGGTAGTAAGTATATGATAAAAGGGTTGTTTCTACACAACGACAACATGCAGAAGACCTGTATTCTATACAGTATGGGGATGCATAGCATATGGTAAATACAAACTCTATCAACAGGAGATGGAAGGCACCTTCTATCCACTGCTAGCTCGTGGGACACTTTGGGAGCCAGGTTTGCTTGTATGTATGACAGTAAACATAAGGCTTGTGTGGGTAGGGATGTACGGTAAAGCGAAACTTGATCAACAGGAGAAGCAAGGCTACTCCTGCCCTCCACTTGCCCGTGGGTCACCTCAGGATCAGAGGTGACATATGAAGTGTCTAGCTTGTTTTCTACTGCCACCACCCACCCCATACCCTCTCCAACCTCAAATGAGGGTTTATCTCCATTCCACACCTTTCCAACCCCCAACCTCATATCAGGGTGGATCTCTCTCATCCCCAACTCGAATCAGGGTTTTATCCAACCCACTTCAATCAATGTCCATCCCAGGCACTCCAATCAGGATCCATCCCACCCACTCCAATCAGGGTCCATCCCACCCACTAGAATAATGGTCCACTCCAATCAGGATCCATCCCACCCACTCCAATCAGGGTCCATCCCACCCACTAGAATAATGGTCCACTCCAATCAGGATCCATCCCACCCACTCCAATAAGGATCCATCCCACTCACTCCAATCAGGGTCCATCCCACCCACTAGAATCATGGTCCACTCCAATAAGGATCCATCCCACCCACTACTATCGCGGTCCATCCAACCCACTAAAATTATGGTCCATTCCATCCCACTCCAACCAAAGGGGTAAGTTAAGAAAGACTAGTGATGGATTAAAGTAGTGAGCAGAAGAAATGTTTATCAAACTTTGTCATCATAATAACTGTCTTTTATGATTATTTTATGTTTAAACTTCATCTATCACAGACCATCCTAACTGTAACTCCAAATATCCCAGACCATTCTAACTGTAACTCCAAATATCCCAGACCATTCTAACTGTAACTCCAAATATCCTAGACTATCTTAACTGTAACTCCAAATATCCCAGACCATCCTAACTGTAACTCCAAATATCCCAGAGTATCTTAACTGTAACTCAAAATATCGCAGAGTATCCTAACTGTGTCTCCAAACATCCCAGACTATCCTAACTGTAACTCAAAATATCCCAGACTATCCTAACTATAACTACAAATATCCCAGACTATTGCTACTGTAATTCCAAATACCCTAGACTATTGTTACTGTAATTCCAAATATCCCAGACTATCGCTACTGTAATTCCAAATATCCTAGACTATCGCTACTGTAATTCCAAATATCCCAGACTACTGTTACTGTAATTCCAAATTATCCTTACTTCAACTCTCTATTGCAATTTCTAACCAAGGCATCCATTATTTTATTTTATATATATATATATATATATATATATATATATATATATATATATATATATATATATATATATATATATATATATATATATATATATATATATATATATATATATTTTATACATGTTATTTTATTTATTCATCCTACATAACAATGAATTTATTTTGATCTATCCCGTTAGCGGGGCAGCCTGTTCTATAAATAAAGAAGTTTGTCCCTCATCTCACAAGTTAGCTACATAAACCACACAAACTGTTAATATAAGTCAGCTAAAGATTTAACAACTATCCCTTTTCTCACCCTTTGGTTAGTTTGTAAGCTGCAATCTGTTTCAAACAATACACATTTATGGATAAAAACACAGAAAGAGAGTGAGAGATGAGGTGGATACAGCTGTCCATCATCCCACACAATGATAAGTTTATGTCAGTTAAAATCTGTTTCACACACAATATATCCACAAATGGATAAAACACTGGTATAAAGAGAGTGAGAGATGAGGTTTATATAGTTGTCCCTCATCCCACACAATGATAAGTTTATGTCAGTTACAATCTGTTTCACACACAATATGTCCACAAATGGATAAAACACTGGTATAAAGAGAGTGAGAAATGAGGTTTATATAGTTGTCCCTCATCACACACAATAAGTTTATGTCAGTTACAATCTGTTTTACACACAATATATCCACAAATGGATAAAACACTGGTATAAAGAGAGTGAGAGATGAGGTTTATATAGATGTCCCTCATCACACACAATAAGTTTATGTCAGTTACAATCTGTTTTACACACAATATATCCACAAATGGATAAAACACTGGTATAAAGAGAATGAGAGATGAGGTTCATGTAGTTGTCCCTCATCCTCCACATTGGTTAGTCCATCAATTACACTCCATCTGACATATTACACATCCATGGATATAGTACTGATATAAGAAGAGTGGGAGTGAAGTTTATATAGTTGTCCCTCATCCTCCACATTGGTTAGTCCATTTGTTACACTCCGTTTGACATATTACACATCCATGGATATAGTACTGATATAAGAAGAGTGGGAGTGAAGTTTATATAGTTGTCCTTCATCCCTCACATTGCTTAGTCCATTTGTTACACTCCATTTGACATATTACACATCCATGGATATAGTACTGATATAAGAAGAGTGGGAGTGAAGTTTATATAGTTGTCCTTCATCCCTCCCATTGCTTAGTCCATCAATTACACTCCATTTGACATACTACACATCCATGGATAAAATACTGGTATAAAGAGAGTGGGAGATGAGGTTTATATAGTTGTCCCTCATCCCTCACATTGGTTAGTCCATCAATTACAATCAATTTGACACACTGCACATCCACGGATATAGCACTGGTATAAGGAGAGTGACAGATGAGGTTTATACAGTTGTCTCTCATCCCTCACATTGCTTAGCCCATCAATTTGACACACTGCACATCCACCGATATAGCACTGATATAAGAATAGTGGGAGACGAGAAGTTTACGGCTCTCTTTTATCTCACAGATCAGTCAGCCTGTGTCCGTTAAAATAACACACGAGAAGACAGTGCAATCACACAAAGAGAGGCAGAGATGAGAAATCTACAGCGCAGATCTTATGTTTACATGTGTTCTGGGTGATCCCGAAGACAGTCGATGAAGTTCCGAGGGTCCATTTCTCTAGTGCATATTCTGTGAATAGCCACTAGAAGTGGAAACCTGCAAATACAACAATTTACAGTCCTTTTAGAATAGGAACAGGCACAGTCAAATAAATACATTTTATATTTATATAACAACCAGTTTACCATCAGGTTAGTTAGCTGAACTCATTTGATCATGTCACTCAACTATGTCTTCTTATCATCCTCAGGTTCAATCAGTCAATCAAACAATTGATCAATTATTCAATCAATCAGATGCTGTCTCCACAATGAAGGAGGGTAGCAATCGATCTCCAGCAACACTATCATGTGTCTTAGTTGTACACTTTCTCAGACTGCTCTCCATCTATCTCTCAATATTTGACTCCCACCTGTATCACTGTCTACCTTTTGCTCTATTATCTTCAACTCTTCCCTCCAGTATGGTTTTTAAAATAGTGTTATCTAATTCAATGTGGCCAAAATATTTCAACTGTCTTTCTGTTATTTTGTCATTTCTGTAAACATCTCTCTTTTATTTTGTCATTTCTGTAAACATCTCTCTTTTATTTTTTCATTTCTGTAAACATCTCTCTTCTCACTCCCAACCTCACCAAAACCTATGTATTTAACCCAGCCCCTCCATAGAAAAATGGGATGACAAGAAGATAAAGGGTCAGCTGTTGTGTGGTTTTTTAAGGCAAATTTACATCCAGTAGTTTGCCATTGCTTTCTGGACGGTCAGCTTTCTTGATACCACTGTCGAAATCAAGGCAAGGCTGGCCCGCAGCTGGTATCGAACCCTGCATCCCGGCATTACCGAGCGTTCGCATCGACTTAGCCACAGAGCCAACCTATAGAACAAACATGGCATAAATGACACCAAAAGAGTAATATAACCAACACTGTGTCACAAGTGCCACACGTGGACATTAGCAACAAAACAGAAAAAATAGAAACAACAGACATGAAATGTCTACAGTGAATCCTAAATGTAGTTAGATGAGATAGGATCAGAAATGATGATATCAAGAAAGAAGCTGGGATGGAACCAGTATTAAACTATATTAAGAGAAAACAGATCAAACAGATGAAATGGTTTGGACATGTGTGTCAAGACTACCATCAAACAGTGCACACAAAGAGCCCTGTCATTAGAAATGATGGTAGCACAGCCAGAGGTCGACCACGCAGGCCACGGGTAGATGGAATTACGGAGGTCGTAAATATCAGGATCATTGTAGCATATATCAAGGTTTCCACTCAATGCCTCTTCAGAACCTGGCGTTGAAAGGCAGAACATGACTAGAGGTGGGGGAGGAAAAGAAGAAGAAGAAGAAAAAGAACATCTATCATGAAGTGATCAATTAGTCTTTACCTTTTTTATTTTTTCAAATATCCAGAAACCATGAGTTCAATGTATCTTTTCTGCCTACCACCGGGTGTGAATCCAGACCATAAGGAGTTTGTCACCCGGTCGCGGAAAAGTCAGGTTTAGCCAACTACGCTAGTGAGCCGGGCAAGTCTTTACCTTTAAAGCTATTCATATTTTTTTGTTTTTGCTGTAGTTAATTTAAAAACAAAAACTCTCTCATTAAGCTTTTATGTACCCCTTTTCAGAGCAGTATAGGACAGAGGGAGTCTTGAGTACAGAGGCTGTCACCACAGACTATAGTGCTGTCACTGCAGACTATAGTGCTGTCACCACAGACTATAGTGCTGTCACTGCAGACTATAGTGCTGTCACCACAGACTATAGTGCTGTCACTGCAGACTATAGTGCTGTCACTGCAGACTATAGTGCTGTCACCCCAGACTATAGTGCTGTCACCACAGACTATAGTGCTGTCACCACAGACTATAGTGCTGTCACCCCAGACTATAGTGCTGTCACCATAGACTGTGCAGGTTAGGATTCAATACACAACCACAAAAACATCATAAAACTCACTGATCAGTCATTTCAATATTCTTCAGGTAAGCATAAATCTCCTTGGCAATCAACGGACCCTGAAAACTCTGCCCTCTCAAGATCTCTTTCTCCAGCAGTCGAATATCCTGTTTGTGCAGATCAGTGACAACATAATTTACACACTGTCCAAATATTACTACTGTTGTAATTAACAATGATAAGGTGCAGATACCACAGTCTAGCTGTAAATAATAACACAGTGTGGCAACTGTCCTGGCAACCCTGTCCCCCTCTGGAGCCCTGCATTCCGTCCATGACTAATATCCCTAAATCCTGTTTGTGCAGATCAGTGACAACATAATTAACACACTGTCCAAATATTACTACTGTTGTAATTAACAATGATAAGGTGCAGATACCACAGTCTAGCTGTAAATAATAACACAGTGTGGCAACTGTCCTGGCAACCCTGTCCCCCTCTGGAGCCCTGCATTCCGTCCATGACTAATATCCCTAAATCCTGTTTGTGCAGATCAGTGACAACATGATTAACACACTGTCCAAATATTACTACTGTTGTAATTAACAATGATAAGGTGCAGATACCACAGTCTAGCTGTAAATAATAACACAGTGTGGCAACTGTCCTGGCAACCCTGTCCCCCTCTGGAGCCCTGCATTCCGTCCATGACTAATATACCTAAATCCTGTTTGTGCAGATCAGTGACAACATAATTTACACACTGTCCAAATATTACTACTGTTGTAATTAACAATGATAAGGTGCAGATACCACAGTCTAGCTGTAAATAATAACACAGTGTGGCAACTGTCCTGGCAACCCTGTCCCCCTCTGGAGCCCTGCATTCCGTCCATGACTTATATCCCTAAATCCTGTTTTCAAGAAGCATAGTTAAACACCACTGATTGTATCTGCACCTTCATAGTGTTTAGGAAGCCCGGATATGAAGGTATTTACTAAAAATAGTATTTAGGTTTTTTTGTTTGTTTGTATTTAAACCAAATGATTTTTACAAAACCATTAATGTCATAGTTTTTCCATAGCCTCAGTGCTAGAGGTCATGGGGTCACGGCATAAGTCACCCAATACACGTTTCTTGAGACCCCAAAACATGTATTACATTTAATGCTTCACTTCATTTGGTTCATTTGTGTTTACTGATTACTCCTTTAATACCCCCCCCCCCCCCACCCCCCTCCCCCAAACACTGAGCACATATGGGAATGCCCAATGTGCAGTGACATCATCTGTAATAACACAACATAACAAATAAATTTATTACTGACCTGTATTAATTGCTTGGTTTTTTAAAGGATTTCTTTTGTTGGAAATATTTACATTTTGTTTTAATTTTAATATTAAAAAAAAAAAAAAACATTTTCAGGGTTACATTTGACACTTTCTAACCATCATATGAGTTTATGTTAGTAAAGGTGAGCTTTGGAACCAGTGAATAATCTTCATACATTCTCATCATATGACCAAACAAATTATCAGTGGGTCCTATAAGGGCACTTTGTTTCTTATCAAATGTTGAAAAAAAAAAAAAAAAAAACCAGAACATAAAAAGAATGGAGATATATAAAGAGTAAAAAGCCTAATAACAACAGAAACTTGAAAAGTAACAACAAATTTTTCTCGAGAAAAAAACAACAAAATGAAGTATAATTTTACCACGCCAGCCATCCCACGTTTCTGAAAACAAGAAACAACTCTGAAGTCAAACCAACAGATTAATGCACAGCACTGAAATAGCTGGCTGAAAGAATCAAATAAATATCTGTGCCATCTCCACAACAATGGCTGGCTAGAGTATATCACTGCTGTCCTTGCTTTTATTACATGGTGATGACCCAATCTCTTCCAAGGTACCATTCTCTAACCATTGTCCAAAAACTACGAGAAATTTTTGTTTACCGTCCACCATGGGGAAGGGAAGCCAAGTACTCGAGGATCATGAAATTATTGACCGCATTCGCTAGCCTCCAAGCCAGGGCAATTCAACTGGCAGTCCGTGGGCCAAATTTAGCCCACGGAGTCCTAGTAAGTGGCCCGCGGATCACGGCAAGTTGCACTGTATTAATGATCTGTCTATACTGGGTCTCAGGCCTCTGGCTCTTGATGATCCTCATTAAAAAAAAGTGTTGGCCCCATGAGTAAACTTAGTGGAACAGTCCTGCTGTAAGCCATGCCCTGAAATAACCTTGTTTAATAAACTAAATAAAGGATGGTGATAAATGTTAGTGCAGAACTGGTAAAATGTTGGCTTACATCAACTGAGGACAAACTTACGGTCATGTCAAAAACCTAAAGTTGACAGCTGCCTGCTTTTCATATTTGTAAAAAGACAGAAACAAAGAAAGATAAAAAGAACAAAAGATGAAGCAACAGAACAGAGTAAAGGACACACACACAAAAAAGAGAATGAATGAACAAACTTTATTTCCAAAAAGACAAAAGAGGAGAAGGGGGGGGGGGGGTTGGAGAAAAAAAGAGAGAGAGAGAGAGAGAGAGAGAGAGAGACAGACAGACAGACAGACAGACAGACAGACAGACAGACAGACAGACAGACAGACAGACAGACAGACAGACAGACAGACAGACAGACAGACAGACAGACAGAGGGAGAAACACAGAGGGAGATAGACAAAAAAAGAGACACAGAAAGAAAGACAGACAAAGAGAGAAACACTGACAGACACAAAGAGAGACTTAAAAAACAGATCAAGGATGAGACCTTTCCTACCTTCAAGGATTTGACAACAGCCTCTCCCAAGAGGCGGTTCCTACCCCCATGACATGTGGCTACCAGATCAGCAATGCCACAGCTTTCAAAGAACACAGACTTGTCCTCAACTGCAAGGGAATCAACATAAATCATCATTGAAGCAGCTGTCTGCACACACTAGATACCAGCTGTTTATCAGAGGAGCATGCACACACTAGATACCAGCTGTTTATCAGACAGGACCAGATGACAGGAACATGCACACACTAGATACAAGCTGTTTATCAGACAGGACCAGATGACAGGAACATGCACACACTAGATACAAGCTGTTTATCAGACAGGACCAGATGACAGGAACATGCACACACTAGATACAAGCTGTTTATCAGACAGGAAAAGATGACAGCAGCATGCACACGCTTGATACTAGCTGTCTTTCAAGCACAACAATTTCAGCCGGAATAGAAATAAGGTCTCTAGGGAACCAGGAGTTTTGTCACTGGCTTCAGAAACAGCTTCTGCTGTGACTGTAATGTGGGTGTGGAAATGTCTGCCACACAGTCTACATAACAAGTGGAATAATAATAATAATAATAATAATAATAATAATAATAATAATAATAACAACAATACTACAGTATAATAATACAAGAGACCAGAATCAAGCTGAAAAATGCCCAATATAAAGGTCAGTAAACTGAATCAACCTGATAATGAATACAAATACTGGAGTCAGTACACTGAATCAACTGGATGAAGAATGAAAATACTCGAGTCAGTACACTGAATCAACTGAATGATGAATAAAATACTGGAGTCAGTACACCAAATCAACTGGATGATAAACAACATACTGGAGTCAGTACACTGAATCAACTGGATGATGATAAAAAATACCACAGTCAGTACACTGAATCAACTGGATGATGAATGAAAATGCTAGAGTCAGTACATTGAAACAACTGGATGATAAACAAAAATACTGGAGTCAGTACACTGAATCAACTGGATGATAAACAAAAAAATACAGGAGTCAGTACACTAAATCAACTGGATGATAAACAAAAATACTAAAGTCAGTACACTGAATCAACTAGATGATAAACAAAAATACAGGAGTCAGTACACTGAATCAACTAGCTGATAAACAACAATACTAGAGTCAGTACACTAAATCAACTGGATGATAAATCAACTGGATGATAAACAAAAATACAGGAGTCAGTACACTGAATCAACTGGATGTGCACTAGAACGCACCAGTACTGAGTGAGCAAATAGGACGTCAAAACAATACATCAGGTTGTGAAGGGATTGTATTCTAGGAGATAAAAGTCGAAGTTTGACCAAGGCGGACGTGTGGTCCGGCCCTGGTGTGGATCCTTGAGGATGCTTTACCCCGGGATGCCATGGAAGGAATGGTAATCAAGTTGGATCCTTGAGGATGCTTTACCCCGGGATGCCACGGTAAGATTAGACATTTACAGTCCAGAGGAGACGGACGTGTGGATCCTTGAGGACGCTTTACCCCGGGATTTCACGGATGCAGACGTTGTATAAAGTTGGATCCTTGAGGACGTTTTACCCCAAGACTCCACTATAAAACTCAGCAGAAAGCTGGTATAGTGTCACAGTTCGGCAGTAAGCCGGTATACTTATCTTACCTTGTTCAAGCTGCGAAAGAGAAGATTGAGATGACTGTCGGGATCTCCAAGGTCGGACTGCGACCCGTCGTGTGAATTGATCAGTCAATTGATGTACGAGTCGGCTGTAAGCCGGTATACTTATACTACCGACTGTCTGGATTTCCAAGGTCGGACTGCAACCCGTCGTCTGTAATATGTCAGCTGACGTCGAGCGGTTTCTTGTGTTGGTGTGTTTGGTTGAGTTTGGATTATTAATTGCACATTTTCTCCTTCTCTTTATCATTGCTATTGTCAATACACAATGGAACCTTTAAAGACAGTTATCGTTCAACTACGTTTGGAAGCTTAACATTCATAATGTTCTGTTACACTTGGCCGGTGGCATATTAAGTTGTTGATGCCATTTGTTACTTTGTGACGCCCTAATTCATCTTTGGTACGCCATACATCAGCATGAAGCCTTTGCCGTAAGTCACAATAGGGGCCTGCCTTTAAAGAATGAGGGACCTTCTCAAGCACAGTGTGATACGTCCTTTTGTCATACTGGTTTTGTCTCAAGTTGTACACAAAGCATGTTCCAGTCGTCACAATCTTTACACATCTCTAGCTGTGGATATCGTTCAATGTATCAAGTCGCCGCCTGTTTGTTCTAGCTATTGTTGGGTCTTCATCGGGACCATATCACTCTTCGTTGGATCTTCGTCAGAATCAAGTCACCATCACTGTCTGTGCTACTCTCCGTTGGATTGGATCAGATCAAGTCGTCATTTTTGTTGTACATTGGCTCTGCTACTTGCCGTTATATTGGTCGCTACTATTGGCGATTTTTCATCGCTTACATTGCAGTGGGATTTGTTGTTTAATTTTCTGCCACTCAATTGGTAAGTCAATTGTGGTTATTGTAGTTTCTGTTGTGCTGACAATTTTAACTCTTTCCTCCAGAGAACAGACCTGGCTTTTCCTGTGCGCAAGTGGAGAGCGAGTGGCACATTAATTGTTACGTGTTATCAAGTAGGTGGGAGGTTGGGCGGCGAGAGCCTTATTCGATATTTCAACTAGCTTACCACTAGAGTGACATATCGTCTTTGGCTCTGTCTGTAGCCAACTTCAACCCTCGGAGTGGTCCCCATTATAACAGGGAGATAGTTTATCTATTCGCGACTCTGTGGATTGATTTAAGCTAAAGTGTCTTAGTCAGGTCTCGTCACGTCCTATACGTTCAGTTTGTATTAGTGCTACCTGGTGTTCTTTCGACGATTGTCCCTTCTCTATTTGTTAGTTCCATTGGTTTATTTGTTAAGTCCAGATACAAGTCAAGAGGGTGACCAAGAAAGAGAGGGGTAGAGGCACTAAAAAAAGCGCTAGGAAACATGATATGACATTAACACAAGCTACTCAACTAGCAAAACAACGGGCAACTACATATAACTCTTCTCTGCTGTGCTTTGCCGCAAAAGAAGAAAGAAGAAGATGTGACAGCGATGTTTATTAAAAGACTTGCTACACAGCATTGATGATGTCAAGGGTCCAAGGACTTACCTCCAAGAAACACTTTTGTGAACTTGATCATCTCCATTAACCCCAGCCTGATAACCGCTGCTTTAGTGTTGTCTCCGAAGCCAAGACCATCCACAATGCCTGCTCCAATACCCACCACGTTCTGTGTATAATATTCATTTGAAAAGGTTATTTAAATGTATTTCTACAGTCTACTGTGTAGAGCTAGGTGGATGATGCTTTCTTTTCTTCTTCTTCTTCTTCTTCTTCTTCTTTTCCACTTGTATCTCAGTGGAGTATTGGGGGAGATATAGTGTTCGTTTATGAGCTCTGTCAAGAGCATTATTAAGACTGATGTTCATTTCTGTAAGGCTGTTCTTAATGCCATCACACCATCGTTTCCGATGTCTTTCTTTTCTAATTCACTGTTATTGTCATGTGTAGAATGCAACTTTGCTAAAACCGGTCCCAAGCCTGGCTGAAAAAGGAGGAGGGTCTGGTTGAACCTGTGTGCTTCACATAACTCTGGGAGTAGTGGGTAACTGTGAATCAGCCAGACTGACTACATGGAGGCAGCCCCTTCAAAATGCAAAGGCACAACAGGCCAATCATAGGAGTGCCTTAAACTATGATCACAAGTTACCACAGAGAGAGAATCAGACAGACCTTAAGGGCGATAAACTGGCATGGCACATGGACTTTGAATTTTAAAAAACATGGAAAAGGAGGATGGGCTGACATCTTCAGCTAACTGCTGCAACACCTGGCAATTATTAGAGACTGTAACTGAAAATTGTTCTTTAACTTCTTTATCCCTGAGATAACCTACATTATACTGGTTTCTATGATTATAAGATGTTATATATCTTTTTAGTTTCAACTTGATTTTACTTACCACCAGAAAATGGTCAGTAAATACATCGGCACTTCTGAAAGCCCTAACATCGTAAAGGGATGATCTAAACGTTTTGTTAATACATAGGTGATCAATTGGATTGGTTGTCTTATGGTCTGGTGATTCTCATGTTGCCTTGTGTATTCTTTTATGGAGAAAAATACTTCCACCAATAACACACTGGTTTCCTTCACACAAATTTGTGAATAATTCTCCATTTTCATACATTACTCCTAGACCGGAAGACCTAGACTTCGCCGACGACATAGCACTCCTGAGTTCAGAACACACAGACGCCCAAGAAAAAATCAATCGACTCCAGAATTTCTCAGAACAAATTGGACTCCAAATTAACACCGCAAAAACAAAAATTCTAGACCTTACCAACAGTTCAGTTGATATCACGCTGAACAACAACAGCCTTGAAAAAGTCAACAGTTTCACTTATCTAGGGAGCAAGATGTCATCTACAGGAGATACCGCACCAGAAATATCATTTAGAATAGCACTGGCATCTAGTGCCTTCAATAAACTGTCTAACATCTGGAAATCAAAGACACTTAGCAAACACACAAAACTCAAGATCTTCAATTCTTGTGTGATTCCAGTACTAACCTATGGATGCGAGAGTTGGAAATCAACGAAAACTCTAGACACAAAATTAGACAGTTTTGAAAATAAATGCCTTAGAAGAATACTAAATTTCAAATGGTCAGATTTCCGAACCAATACACAAATAAGGCAAGAATCCAGGCAAGAGTATGTGTCTAATTTTATACGAAAACGCCGCTGGAACTATGTCGGCCACGTCCTTAGAATGGATAAATCAAGACTTCCTTACCAAGCCCTCATTTGGACACCACAGGGGAAAAGATCTCGTGGAAGACCAAGGGAAACCCTACGTAGAACTATCATCAGGGAAGGCTCGCTTATGGGCCACTCAAACATCCAAGACCTACAACGGATTGCAACGGACCGCCGTGCATGGAGAGTCACGACCTCTGCCCTATGTGCCGCACTCGACACAAGAGGAAAGACTAACTAACTAACTCCTAGACCATGTCTCCCCATAATTTCTTGATAACCTGTGTTATCTGATCCTTTCTTAGCATTCAGGTCACCCATACAAATTTTCAAATTGCCCTTTCTTCATTATTTATAATATTTTGAAGCTGCATGTAAAATTCTTACTTAACAGATGCATCTTTATCATTTATTGGTGCGTAACACTGAATTACCGACATGTTTCACCTTCTGTTTCACTGTTCTAAATGACGCTCTTATTATTCTGGGACTCACAGCTTCCCATTCTATTAGTGCCCTGTCTGCTTCTTTCGATAGCATCAGGGCCACTCCTTCATTGTGGGGCGAATTTTCAATTTGTTTACACATACATTATTTTCAATGCGATAATAATTTAGATAATAAATTATTAATAATAATTTATGATCATGAGACAAACTACTAACGAGGGAGAAAATGACTGGTTACAATGATGAATAGACAAAACAAACAAAGATTAAAGGCAAACAACTTCTTATAATCTCCAATGCAATATTACCTTGAGGGCCCCACAGGCCTCCACGCCTGCAACATTCCTAATGATTTTACAGCGGAAGTAGGGCGTCTCAAACAAGCTGTTGAGCAGTGATCTGTAGGAGTCGTCCTCACAAGCTGTCATTAGAGACATGTACAACATTAACTTTTTGATTGCCACAGACAAGTGTTATTTCAAACCCATTATATCTTAAAACAGTCTTATATCAGACAGTGTTTTTTTAAAACAACAGTCTTATATCAGAGATTGCTATTTTCAACACAAAGTTTTATATCAGACATTGTTTTTTTTTAACCCATTGTGTCTGAGGATAAACAGTCTTGTATCAGACAGTGCTATTTTAACTATATGTCATAGAATAAATAGTCTTATACAAAAAGTGTTATTATAACCATAAACCACTTTATGAGAATGAATCCTGCCAAAACAGCTCTCACATGGACACCAGAGGGAAAGAGAAAACAGGGGCGCCCAAAAACAACACGGAGATGAGCGATGGAAAGTGACCTGAGTGTGGCATCTTTGACATGGAAAACTGCACTGAAGATTGCACAGGACAGGAAAGCATGGAAAGTCCTCTCTAAAGCCTCATGTGCCACTAGGCATAACAAGAACTGATGATGATAACCATAAAGCTTTATATTAGACAGTGTTATTTTTTAACCACAAACAGTCTAATTTCAAGCTGTCAGTGACTCCTTCAATACATTTCTTTTAAGTCTCCCTCTATATCTTGGTCCCTCCACTATCATATTTAACACTCTCACTGCTGGCATTGCTGGGTTAATTCTCATTCAGTGGCCAAACCATTTCAGTCTTTGCAAAGAATAAAGACAGAAAATAATGAGAAGATATAAAACTATGCAACTTAAAACACATAATAAACAAAGAAAACATGAGAAGCTATAAACTATGCAACTCACAACATGGAATAAATAAAGAAAATAATGAGAAGATATAAAACCATGTAACTTACAACACAGAATAAAGAAAAAACAGCAAGAATATAAAAACAATGCAGCTTACGAATAAGAAAGTAAACAAGGCCTACTCACCAATAGTTGTTTCACAAAACATTTCACTGGCCACTTCTGTTGCCAGGTTGGCCCCCATCAATACGGCAGTCTCAATATTCAAGATCTCTTTAATCAGCCTAGACACCAACTGGATACCACTCCCCTCAGTCAGGACAAACCCCTGGAGAAAGATAACACACACTGTTTCCTGTTCTCAGACACCAAAATTATTTTGACTGGTCCAGTACTAGACTAGACAGACGCAATCAATACCATAAAATAAAGATCCTTTTTTACACCTATAGGCGCATCAGGCATATGGAAACAGCACCCCTATTTTTACAGACCAATCGGCAATGGATGGGCAATGTCAGCATTATGCCGGCCATCTTTACTTCCCCAGGACATACACCCTGGGTCCCATTTTGGGCTGGGTCGACCTGTGATGCCCCATACCATGATAAAAATCCACGCAGTCAGCAGTGGGTTTCGATCGCAGTACATTGGACAATCAATATCATGCAAAATGCAAATCAAGAAGATGACTGGTGCAAAATATGACTCTGTATCCGGTCCAGACTGGTGGATATGAGGGCAAGTTCAGATTTGTGGATATGAGGGCGGGTCCAGACTAGTGGATATGAGGGCAAGTTCAGATTGGTGGATATGAGGGCAAGTTCAGATTGGTGGATATGAGGGCACATCAAGATTGGTGGATTTGAGGGTGGAACCAGACTAGTGGATATGAGGGCGGGTCCAGACTAGTGGATATGAGGACGGGTCCAGACTAGTGGATATGAGGGCGGGTCCAGACTGGTGGATATGAGGGCAGGTCCAGACTGGTGGATATGAGGGCAAGTTCAGATTGGTGGATATGAGGGCAGATCAAGATTGGTGGATATGAGGGCAGGTCCAGACTAGTGGATATGAGGGCGGGTCCAGATTGGTAGATATGAGGGTGGGTCCTGATTGGTGGATATGAGGGCAAATCCAGATTGGTGGATATAAGGGCGGGTCCAGACTGGTGGATATGAGGGCAGTTCCAGATTGGTGGAAATTAGGGCGGATCAAGATTGGTGGATATGAGGGCAGGTCCAGACTGGTGGATATGAGGGCAGGTCCAGTTGGTGGATAGGAGGGCGGATCCAGATTGGTGGATATGAGAGCAGGTCCAGATTGGTGGATATGAGGGCAGGTCCAGATTGGTGGATATGAGGGTGGGTCCTGATTGGTGGATATGAGGGTTGGTCCAGATTGGTGGATATAAGGGCAGGTCCAGATTGGTGGATATGAGGGTGGTTCCATACTGGTGGATATGAGGGCGGGTCCAGACTGGTGGATATGAGGGCGGGTCCAGATTGGTGGATATGAGGACACCACCTGGAGCTGCCAGACATAAACATTTTACTAAGTTTAAAGACATTTGAATAATCAATACAGAGCAGGCATGATTGGTCATTTTAAACCTGTGGAGTAATTATTAAGAAGATGAGAGCACCTACGGCTCTGTCCAGAATGCCATACTGATAGTCCTTATTAGTCTTTAATCACTGTTCCTTTTTACACTTGATTTGATGTAAGTTTACTATTAAACTTACTTCAACTACCAGCCCTTCAGGGAAACGCAATTCTCTGAAATCTACAATAATTTATGCTATGCACTAGCAAGGCAATCTTCTAGCCGAGGGTTTATTTAGCTTTCTCCCTCTTCCTATCGTCCCTGCCGTGTGCCACTGATAGTCATGTCTATCCACAGCTTTCTGTCTCATGTACTTTCAGTAATTTATGACACAGATGATCTTCCATACCATGACGTCAAACTATCCAGCATCTTATCTCTTAGACTCTTTTCCACTCCCACCTTCCCGCTGTCACAATGTACTCCAGTTTTCTCCTTCTCATGATATGACTAAAGAAAGTAGATTGTGTCCTTCTTTGTGAGTTTATCTCTCTCAGGATATTTAAACTTTACAAAAACTAAATTCAGGAGGCTATACTAAAGTCAGCTGCATACCTTTATCAAAGAAATGCCCAGGGCATTGGGCTTGATAAATGTCTTCATCTTGTAGCATGTGTCCTTGACAAACTGATGAGGCAACACAAAGATCAGGATGTCTGCATCCTTAGATGCTCGAACAACATCAGGCACCGCAATCTGTACAACATGGACAACAGATATTTGTAATGCAGACATATTACAATTAAATTAGTAATCATGGAAATGATATCTTTAAGAATGAATGAATCAATTAATCAAGAACTGACATCACTGGACTCAGGACAATTCCACACATGCTCCGTCCCCTTCTACAGTAGCTAATGGAGAGTTGACATGCTAAGAGTACCAGTTGCAACCTGATTGAAAGCCTGCCTCTGTTTCCCCTTCAGTGTTGAATATCTTCCATAACTTTTACTTGCCCCCCATTGAATTAGTTTTTCAGTGTATTGATTCCCTTTTGCACTGTCCATCTGATTCCATAGAGCATTCACCACATCCACTTTATTATAGAGTAGCTCCCTGCCCAGAGGAGCGGCAGCGGCTAATCTATCAACCTGCTTGTTACCTCACACACCTGGATATCCTGGACAGAAAATCCATGATATGCTCCTGATTTGGGTCTTACCAAGTGATACAAGCCCAGTTTCAGTTTTCAAAAGCAAGCTCTTTGATTCTGTTACAATCACAATGTGTCGGGCTGTGCTATTCTCAAGCGCTATCTTTAAGAAACATGTGGGAATGACTAGTAGAGATTTATTCATGAATAAGGTCATAAGATAAAAGGTCAATGTAGAATCAATACTAAATTATGTATAAAGGCAGCAGAAAAAAAATGTCCTATGTTATACCATACAAGGCATACACTGAAAGAGGATAGGGACAAAGGCAGGTAGAACAAGAACAAGATGAAAGTCATAATGACAGAGAAATTAGATGTCTCAGAAGGGATGCAGGAGTGACTAGAAAAGATAAGATCAGGAGTGAGGTCATAAGAGAAAGAAAATCGGCACTCAACCAATTCTAAATTAAATACAACAAATCAAATGGTTTGCCCACTTAAAAGAGAATGCTTTTGACATCGTACCATACTACAGAAACCTCAAAAGAGGAGAAGGGTGAAGAGCACAAGATTAGACCAAGAACAAGAAGGATAGATAACATCAGAGAAACCCTACAACACCACAATGTGTCTATGATCAATGCGACCAGAAGATCAAGAAGAAGAACCTTGTATCTCCATCGACACCCAAAGTGGTAAAAGAGGAAGCGTCAAAGAAGAACAGAAGTAGAATGCAGCATTTCAAAGACACAAGCTATGTTTGATGTCTGAAGATATATACAATATTTGAAGCATACATACAATGTTTGTTGGAAGCTTGATGTCGGGCAAATATTTTGTATTTTCATGTTGAGTGTTGATGATATCAGTCAACTTCTGTCCGTCGATAATCTCCTCATACACATACATGAACACGTCGGTCTGAAACAAGTCTGGATGTTCCTGGACATTGTTGCCCACAATTTTGGCAATAGCCGATCCCCTAGAAGAGAAAAGACAGAAATGTATACATATAAATGAATGGATGAATGAATAAAGTCAAAAGCAAACAGGTATGAATGGATGAATAAATACAGAATGAATGAAAAATCAATTCACTGCACTAGAGTAAAGGACCCTTTTCCACACCATTAAGCGTAATGGGCACATACCGTCTTCTCCATCTTCTCCTAAGGTGGATCTTTGCTGTATCATTTCTAACTTTGTCTTGGATGGTTAAGTTAGTGGCTTTTCTCAGGCATCTCATTTCACAGGTGCTAAATTTACGTAGGTTCGCCTCTGATAATGTCTAAGTCTGACACTGGTAGGACTGTGTTGGTAAGCGCTGGTTTATTATCTGTTTTTTTGGGTGCACATACTTAATAAAGGTGTCAGCTGGTATGTAAATTCACTAGCTCACTGGTATTTTTTTTCTATTTCCCGATTTAATCTCCCATCTCCGAGAAAAAAATTCCTAGATATTTAACTCTCTGAGTCCCAAAGAATGCCTCATATGTTCATAGGTTCCTGCCTAGAGGCCCAATGAAGGCAAGATGGGCTGATTTTACATTACTTTTGACTACCCCTTGGGCCTCTGATGCTAAACACCCTGGGACTCAAAGAGTTAAATTTCTTAACTTGCTTCAGACAAGTACCATTCAATCCTAGTGGACTAGGATTTCTGCTGAACTGCATTACTTCAGATTTAACAGTATTTATTTGCATTTTATATCTTCTGCATGTTGAACTTTGCCTGTTCAAATGTATGTTGAACTTAGCCTGTTCAAATGTATGTTGAACTTAGCCTGTTCAAATGTATGTTGAACTTAGCCTGTTCAAATGTATGTTGAACTTAGCCTGTTCAAATGTATGTTGAACTTAGCCTGTTCAAATGTATGTTGAACTTAGCCTGTTCAAATGTATGTTGAACTTAGCCTGTTCAAATGTATGTTCAACTTAGCCTGTTCAAATGTATGTTCAACTTAGCCTGTTCAAATGTATGTTCAACTTAGCCTGTTCAAATGTATGTTCAACTTAGCCTGTTCAAATGTATGTTCAACTTAGCTGATTTAAATGTTCTTGCAGTCTACTTCTCTCAATGATGAAAAAGCACTGACCATCTGCAAATAGTAGTTCATTTACTGTGTGTGGATATAATTCTTCCTCTGGAAAGTAAAGTTCCTCATTTTCTGTGTTGACTGCTTCAAAGCTGGCTTCTTTTGATATTCTGTCAATGTATACACTAAATAAGAGAAAGGGGTGCAGGGGCACACATCCTTCTCGCCCCTGGATTACTTGTAAACATATCAGATATGCCTTCTTGTGTTTTCACTGCACTTTGGGAAGCATGGTATTTGGTCATGATGTTATCCAGAAACTTTCCTTCTATCCTATGATCGCCTATAGTTTCTGTCTACACTGCTGTAGCGATATTATTAAATTATAACAATGATAACAAATTAATATTAAGGCAGCATAATGATACAATTTCATATGGTGGTAACAAATCCATGATATAATGACTAATTCTTCTGCAAACAGCAAATATTGTAGTGTATGTGTGTTTTTCTAGCTCATGCTATATGAAGTTCATGCTGTTTGCTGAAATTCCCCTTGTGTGACATATAACAAGAGACGGGACATGTATGGAGACATCCGTTTGGAATAAAACTGATACTTGAAAAACAATCGGAAAAAAAAACGGTACTCCTGTCAAATCCGGACGAAGAATAAAAAGTCTTGGACGACTTAGTCAGAGTTCTCTCTCTTGGGCGCACTGCGAACAGTGATCGGAAAAGCCAACGAAACAAAGAAGACATTCACGTCGACATCAATGCTGCCAATGCTTGGTTGTTTCCCCCAGATCTGGGTTTTTTTTTCGACGCTGCGGGACAATTCTGTGTTTTTTTTTTTTTTTGGGTGTGTTTTGTTTGTTGGTTTTTGCCGATTTGTATGCTTTAATGATCGATAAATTTGATTAGGGTTAGCGGTAGGGTTAGGTTTAGCGTTAGATTTGACAATTTTGACACCGGATTTCCCTATAATCGCGCACAGTCCCATACACACACACAAACAATCGAGGGCCTCTGGATGCTGGTCAAACGCACAATTCGCCAACGATTGCGGGCACCAGCCGCACGCGATTGGCGTCATATTTGGCAGAGTTTCAGTGGCGCCACTCCCACAAACATTTGATTGTCGGCCAGTATTTCGAAATCCTACGTCAAAATTTTCACATCTAACCCTAACCCTAACCCTAACCCTAACCCTACCCCTAACCCTACCCCTAACCCTAACCCTAACCCTACCCCTAACCCTACCCCTAACCCTACTCCTAACCCTAACCCTACCCCTAACTCTAACCCAACAACCGCATGATGATGACTACACAACCATTCACAATGCCTCACGAAACCGTACGCAGCCCTACACGCAACCGCAGGATGATAGGTAAGTGTGTCGTTTATTTCGTTTGTTTTCCGATTACTGTTTGGAGTGCGGCCAAGGGAGAGAACTCTGACTAACTCGTCCACGGCTGTTTATTCTTCGTCCGGATTTGACAGGAGAGCCAAAAAAACTATATCCGCTTAGTCTTCTGACTAACTTCCAGATCTGATATAGAATTTCCATTAGAAGAGCCTTCTCCTCTCCCATACCAAATTTTTATATTTGGTTTTTCCAGCAGTACATACTAGAATATTTACAATAAGTGACTCAAACAGTCACGATTCGGGTGACACAATGAGTAGAAAATCCGAGAAACCCCGCTCAACCGTAAAATAGGTAAAATACATCTATACTGGGGCAGTCGCCAGTTATGAAGTACTCTGAAGTCCAGTGTGGGTGGATGATAGTCAAGTCTTTTCATTAACAATCGTCCCCTCTACTAGATCCTAGATCTCGACTGTTCTTCTCCTTGAATTGTCTGCTCCAAGTCCAGTTGAACCCGAGTTTATGTAGTATAGTGAGTAGCTTCTTCTCAAAAACATCCATATTGGTTTTTCCTTTTTCAAGTCTAATGAATACTTACCAGTTTCCAGAACCAATTACACAAACACGCTTTTTCTCAGCCATTGTCTATGAAGTATGATGCTCAAACAAGTTGGAGAAATGAAGATCAATGTGTGCAATCTAAACTTGCCAGCCCTGTTCCTCACACTTATAGTATAGTACTTTATAGCCGTCTGCTCGGCTGTTTGACCCTTGCTAACCTTCACCTTGACCCCGTCTGCAGGCAAATACCTCTCCTCTATGGGAGACCTGATCGTTAAGGAGTTATTTTCCCCAGAACGTGGAGTGGATTTTTTTTAAACATCCATAAACCATGAGTTGTTAACCCTTTGGCTCGGTACTGTGGATATCGCAACCCTTCGGCCTTGATTAAATGATAAGTACCGTAAATCTGGGAGAAAATGTGGCTTTTCTGCCTACCCCTGGGAGTAAACCCGGACCACACGGAGTTCGTCACCCGGTCACTGCGCAGTCCGGTTTAGCCAACTACGCTAGAGAGCCGGGCCGTGGAGTGGATAAACACTCTGGCGAGTTCAGAAAGGCGAAATTACCTGCACAGGACCGCTGGGGACCCAGAAAAAAGGAGCCCGAGCAGGGGTTTGAACTTACATGCCTCTACATGTTTAATGATGTGAGCATCTGGTCTCTCGCCCCCCCCCCCCCCCCACCACCTAACAGAAAAGCCGTATAGCCTAGTTGTTTTTTTTTTAAATATCTAAGCACACATTTCATAAATATTATTCCACGTAAGGCCCGTCCCTCCCCCCCTCCCCCTTTTCCCACCCCCAGATACAAACAATATGAGTCAAGCATTATACTGGACTAGAAATAATACAAACACCGACATTCTACATTATCTGAGAATTGAGGAGAACTGGCTCATAAACAGAATCCTGTCCCCAAAGAGGTAGCAGGGGGAGATGCGGGCCGTACCGGATGAATAACACAATGGCAAAAACGTGCGTTTTTAACATAAATAAATGTACGCGTAAAAGAGTGAGTGAATGATGCGTGCATGTGTGTGTATGTGGGTATATATATTTATGTATATATATGTATATTAATGCGTGTGTGTGCGTGGGGAAGGGGGGGGGGGTTGTTAGGAGACTTTCCACAACGGATTTCAACGGATACCAGCAGATCACGACCGGCTCTAAAGGAGGCGGTGCACCAGACCTCGCAGTGTCACTGAGGGGTGACTGGAAATTTTGTCACAAGCGTAAACACATGACCTTACAACGCCATTAAGGAAGACGGGAAATTTTCCGCACCGGCTACCGCCTGACCTTACAAGACCACTGCGTGTCCTGAAAGCTGGGGTATTTTGGCCATGTTAAACGTCATAGTGGTCTCGGGAAAGCGTGTTCAGGGCCAGATTAACAATTAAGCACACTAAGCGCGTGTATAGGGTATCATAAAGGGAGGGGGTACCACACAGACAATTTCAATAGCCTTGGAGATGAGCGTTCTTTTTCTCACATGAAAAGTAAAGGTCCCTTTTCCACACCTTTAGGCGTATTGGGAATATAGGGCTAGACCTATATTTTTATGGGCAATGGTGGGTGATGTGGTCAGCACCACGCCGGTCGCCTTTACTTCCTAGAAAAAAGTCCAGCTCCGTAAGGACGCGAACCCACGACCTTCCGATCCACAGGCGGGCGTGTAGCTTCCAAAGCCACGGCGGCTCCCTTTTCTCACATGAAGAATATTAAAAATCCCATCAGAATAACAACAAGGCAGGATAGATACCTTATCTCTATTAAGTATAGAAGCAGATGTGATACATAAGTTAACCTTTGAGGATCTGATCAAAGGCTTTGCTATTCAGAAAAAAAAAAAAAAAACTTTAGGAGAACACTTTTCAAATATAAATAAAGTGGAAGTATACAAAAATATCCTCTATATATATATATATTTTTTTTCATTTTACTGTAACTTTTGTTTAATTTCCATAAATACATTTGAACGGTTTTTATTCTTTATATTTTGTAT